TGCACGGGGAGAACATGCAAACTCCACACAGAAAGATCCCTGGTGTCCTCACTGGGACGCAAACCAGCGACCTTCTTGCTGCGAGTGTAACCCTGAAAAGTTTTATCTTCTGTGCTAATAAATCATCACAACAGCAGGACAGTTCAGCAGCTTTTTTGGCAGCTTCAGACCGACATACGCTGACCCTTCACCCCGTCCCCTAATTTTTAAGTGCTGTACCAAAACAACAGAAGGAAGGAACCAACATTTGGGACATAGAGCAGGGCAAGAAGTAAACAGAAAATATCTGACTAAATAATTAATGAAATAATATGTAAGGCACCACATAAATTAATACCAAAATAATAAACAAATTAAGCAAATGCAAATGAATATAATTAGACATAAATCTAATGTTACAAGCCCATGGAGGAGATACCAGGAGACAGACCAGTTCACCAGGAGACGTGGAGGGGGCCGTAGGAGGGCAACAACCCAGCATCAGGACCACTACCTCCTCCTTTGTGCAGGAGGACCAGGAGGAGCACTGCCAGAGCCCTGCAGGATGACCTCCAGCAGGCCACTAATATCAAACTGTCAGACTCAGATTGGCGCCCTGTGCTCTTCATGGATGAGAGCAGGTTCACATTGAACACATGTGACAGACGTGACAGAGTCTGGAGACACCGTGGAGAACGTTCTATTTGGCGGTGGGTCAGTAATGGTGTGGGGAGGCATTTCTTTGGAAGGCCACACAGCCCTCCATGGGATAGCCAGAGGTACCCTGACTGCCATTAGGTACCGGGGTAAGATCCTCAGACCCACTGTGAGACCATATGTTGGTGCAGTGGGCCCTGGGTTCCTTCTGATGCATGACAATGCTCGGCCTCATGTGGCTGATGTGTGTCAGCAGCTCCTGATGATGAAGGCCTTGATGCTATGGACCGGCCTGCTTGTTCCCCAGACTGGATCCAACTGAGCACATCTGGGACATCATGTCTCGTTCCATCCACCAACGCCATGCTGCGTCACAGACTGTCCAGGAGTTGTCTGATGCTTTAATCCAAGTCTGGAGGAGATCTCTCTGGGGAACATGTGCCGTCTCATCAGGAGCATGCCCAGACTCTGTAGGGAGGTCATACAGGCACATGGAGGCCACACACACTACTGAGCCTCATTCTGACTTGTTTGGAGGAATTTCTACTGAAGCTGGACCAGCCTGTGATGTGATTTTCC